ACGATACAAAGCTTTCCTCCACTTCCGAGATCTTAGTGGTTGAGCCTCTGATAAGAGTCCTCCTACTCGAACCTGGCTCTCCTTTCGCCCGTCGGGACTCCTTCTTCCTCCTCGGTAGCACGAACGGGAAGGATCTACCCTAGTGGGCTATGGACTACCAGGGTAACGTAATTGCCGACGGGCATTGTCCCTCCTTCGTCGGCGAGGAGGGCAGGACGTTGCTCCGTTCCTCGTCTCGGGGACAAGGGTGACGACCCGATAGCGCCTCACGTGCTAGTCACGGGAGGCAGCAGCCGCTACGGAGCGCTACGCTACTCGCTCGTTCGCGCCGCCCCCCCCCCCCCCCCCGAACCGTTTCCGCAACAATTTTTTTGTGCCTTCCTTCTCCAATCTACTCGTATTGCTTGTTTTATTTCCTGTTCAATTCTTCTGTCTAATTGCACATCAGACATGGGGCTGTTGTGAAACCATGCCCGGTTACGATGGACCCAAATAGTTTCACATACTATTCCCCTGATCACGTGGGTCACGTAACCCCAACTTTTCCCGACTTTCATTCCCGGAGGAAGGAAGCCCAACAAAACCCACTTTTCCTCTCATTCCACTCCACTTCTGCCCATTCATTTCCAATGGTATTCCCACCACTTCCGTACTCGTTTTGAGGCACATCACTCCCACCAGAGATGACGAGCTGACTATGGCAATTGTACCGAGTAACCAAACCGCTGATTGGGTTAGCAGTAGGCGCAGTAACCGCATGATGCTCACCTGTTTTCCGTCCGGGAGGTGGGCTAGGGTTTTCCAGAGCTGGTTAAATTGTATTTCCGCATCCCGTAGCTCTTCTCCCATCAAGATGCGCCACCTATGTGCAGCTATGGATGTTGGCGTCTTCTTGTGAGCTCTTGTTGTCTGGTAGCCATCCCTCACCCGGTAATCGAATAGATTCAAGTCCAGCATCGCCCCTCCTTCCAAACCCACCCCATAGGGTCAACATTGAGTTCCCTCATCGGTACCCTGCCCACCCAAGTCAGAACTCTGGTCCTCCTTGATTTCCCCGGCCAATGGACTCCACCACTCAGATGTTTTTCTTACCACCACTGGACCCCAGGTTAAAAAAAAGAGAGAGAGAGAGAATCGAAAGTGGAGGGAAAAGAACACCAGGGGACGCTTTGGGAACTGTCGGCAAGCTTGGACCCAGTCCCAGTCCCAGTCCCAGTCCCACCGACAACATTGAGTTTCCTCTACGCCCAAATGCGGATGTGTTTGAGGAAATGACCCGAGTTCCTGCACCTCTCCACAAAGACGTCCAAGTTCGGGCGTTGAGGAAACTCAACGCTGCCAGTTGACCTGGCCCCTAATGGGCTGGAGGACTCTTTGGTAACACACATCTAACGGTGGTGGGGGCCCACTACCTTCTTCCCTCGAATACAACGTACGGTCATTATAGTTGTATTCAGACTGAAAAATAACCCAAATACAACTATAATGACTGTACGTTGTATTGGGGGGAAGAAGGTAGTAGCAAAGAGGGTTGGATTTATTAGTCTAAATCTGGATGTATTTTTTTAAGAGATGCAGAAACGCAGATCAATGACGATTTTCTGCATTTGTCCACAGAAACGTCCAGATTCGGGTGTTAAGTCTAATCGTTTTTGCAAATGGGATCTTCCCTCGAGTCTTCGCCTGGTCGAGCTGGAAGGAAAAGGGAGGGAGAGATTGACTCGTGGCAGAAGGACTCTGGTAGAGGCGACTACCTTCTTCCCCCTTTTTTTTTTTTTTTTTTTAATGGGAACAAGGCTCCAATCTAATCGTGGGGAGCAGCACGTGTTGAGAACCGGGCCCAACGTCCCATACGGAGATTTACATAGAAGTTTGGAAGTTTGAGATACCGGGGCCATTACCCGGCTATGGCTAAGAAAAATTGGAGCTACTAGAAAGTTACTACAACAAACTTCAGAGATAAACAAAGTTTAGAAAACGACTCAGAACCCCCCCACAATTTTTTTTACCTCACTCCGGCAAGACTTACTGCAGCAGAGCCACCATCTCCGTTGCTGTTGTACCCTATTTCCATCCTACGAGCTAGCCCCCTCACTAGTAGGACGCTTGATATCCAACCATCTACTTCTGCGGACAAGGTCCTACAAAAACTCAGAACCCACATAATCCCTAGCAAACCCTTCTAAGGCTCTCCAACATTGCCTTACTCTCTGCCGAGCTCTTCCAGGCCTCACACCCCCACCCTGCTGGGTTACAGGGCAACACGACTTGCCCCAGCTCCAACCAACGTTGACCCAACAACAACCCTTGGCTGTCCCTTGGAATGCCCACCCCAAAGCATTCCCAAATCTCTCTACCAGGCCTCATACTCCTGCATCAGCAGGTTACAGGGCAACACCCCAACACTGACCAACGTCGTTCTGGCATCGGACAACCGCAAATCACTGAGTATAACAGCAGTGAAGCCTCCTAAGATGAGGTGCTAGAAATCCCCGGAATCCTAAGACATTCGTAAGACCACCCTTAGCAACCGTAAACAGCCAACAAAACCTTAGATCATAGAGACATTCAGACCGAAATTTGATTTCAACACAATTGAGAGATGTTATAGAAACTTGAATATAATGCTACCATCTCCTTCCCTTTCCATCCAGCCAACGTCATGCCTAATTGTCATCATCTTCCGACGAACCGACTTCCTCCACCACATAGTTCGGAAGATAAAAGAATAGTAGACAGTTTTACGAGCCAGAGACTATCAGAAAAAACATCCTCCTTCTTCCTTCCAACCCCCTACTCTTCTTCATCCCCCAACGAGCCGACCTCCTCCACCACGTAGTTCGGAGGAGAGAAAAGCAGACGCGCCCACACACTTTCCCTCAACTCTTCCTCCTCTCACGACGAGCCGACCTCCTCCACCCATAGTTCACAAGAAGAGGAGAAAGCACAAGTCATGTGATCACCCTCACCCAAAAAAGCCCAGCACCGACCCCTCCACTAACCGCCAACATCTCTCTGGCAAGACTAATAACAACTGAGCCACCATCCCAGTTGCGGCTATGCCCTAATCCAATCCCACTAGCTAGCCCTCCTCACCAGCAGGACGCCATATCTCCAACCAAAAAACGGTCCCCCCCCACCGGCGCCACTCATCCTCAAAACACCTGGCCCGCAGCTAACGACAAGGGTGACCACCCACCCAACTGAAATTCCTCAAGAACCATAGCAAGGTAACGGTGACATACGATCGTGATCGTAGGTTTAAGGATTACTGATTATAGCATCCGAGTCGAGAATCAGAAGAAACCCTTAGAGGAAAATCAAGTAATTTCAAATAAAGACAACTAAGAATTAAAAAAAAAAAAATGGAATCCAGATCAAGATCATCCACTTTAGAAGTTGAATTTTCGAAAGAATGGTTTGATACCAGAGCAAAAATCTGATTTACGAATCTCCACTTGAAAATTTTTCCGGGAGTTATTTCAGAAGCGATAAAAAACGATCAAAATTCATGCGAAATTCAGCAATTCAGAGTTAGGTTGTTATCTTTTGGATACACAACAAGAATTTCGTCATGTGAATTTAGAAATCGGAGTAGAGCAGACAAAATTGAGAAATCATAGAAAAAGCAAAATTAAGATTTGTCTTTCCAATCAATCATCAAAATCAGACAGCTCTAAAGATCAATTAGAGCAATTGAGTAGATTATTAGTACTTTTTGAGTATGCACTGACCGATCCACTCATGGGCAAGACTCTGACCCTAAAACTATCCATAAAACCTCCATCCCCACTTCCTCAACAACCCCAACTTACCTTTTCCCCCTCAAACCCTACCCCTCCGTCTTCAGGGGAGGAGAGACGCTCTCTCTCCCATTGCTAGCCACTAGGCTCTACGACAATACTAGCACTGAAAACTACAATGGCCATCTTCAATCCCCCTAGGAGAATCGAAAAAAGTGCAGCACCTCCTCGCCAAACCCGTTGCTGCAGGAGATTCAAGCCTTGCTAATCTTGTACTTACCATACTGCTGAGGAAAAGGGGAAAGTAGTCCTCCTGCCCATATGGAGTCGCCCGACAAACCTCTTCCATGCCCACCAAACCAATCAATCATCTTCTATCTTGCCTGCACAGGAGATGGCCCCGCACTCCAATATCGTCACCACCATCCCTTACTCCCTCGCCATGCACTCCAACCCGCCACCACTCACCGGTAGCTCACGCCCCTACCCAGCGCGCCGTCACCATGTGAAATTGCGACAAGTGCCAGGTCGGGCGGGTAGCGCGCCCGCCCGACACCGAGAATCTCCTACCTTCTTCCCTCAAACACAACGCACCCTCATTTTGTTTGACTGTATGGGGACGGAAATATACCTTGCATATCTTGCATATGTTCATTTTCAGGCATATCTGGCATATATTCATTTTCAGGCTGGTATTGTCGACAAACACAATCATTCACGGCTTGTGAGCGCCTTGCTCCGCTACTACTCACCAAATGTCCAAGTAATAGTACATCTAGCTTTGACTAAGCTGCATACTGACTGGTAAACCGAAGCTGGGCAGTGAGCCTACGGTAGTGTCCTGTTCACACCGGGTTGTTTGTTGAGGATTTCCCAAAAAAAAAAGAAAAAAAGAAGAAAAAGAAAAAGAAAAAAAGAAATATGCACCGCCATATTTTTTGTCTTTTGTGCATGTGGAGAGAAGTGGAGCGAGGCAAAAAAGAAAAAAAAAAGAAAAAAAAAAGAAAAGTGGAGCGAGGCCCCGAGTCGCTGGATGCGGGGCCTCGCCACACCACTCTCAAATGTGAAGAAGACAAAAATGTGCCGGGTGCATGTGGCCATGTTCTAGGGGAAAGTTCATTCTCATTTTGCACATTTTCGAAAGTGGTCGGGCGATGCCCGGCGGCGGCGCAGTAAGGTGGTCAGCGGGGGTGCAGGGTACCAACAGCCGCCGGGACCAGAACTGTAATTTTGACATTGGATGCCGTACGCACGCAGGGGGAAATGGCGCCAGCCATGTTCCTTCCCTGTTCATTGGCCAACGACTTGACCGACGGTGAGCTTTTGTGGGTTGTCTGTTCCTGTCAATGAGAAATGAGAACTGAAAATCAAGTCAATTACACACGCGCGGGGTTATCGACATGCCCGTGCGCACACACAGACACACACACACACACACACACACACACACACACACACAGGCGCACACACGCACAGATCGGCACCGAAGCTTCCAAAAGCTTCGCATGAAACTCCCTCTCTCTCTCTCTCTCTCACACACACACACACACACACACAGAGAGAGAGAGAGAGAGAGAGAGAGAGAGAGAGAGAGAGAGAGAGAGAGAGAGAGAGAGAGGATGGCGGGACGAGAGGTGCAGCCTCGGCTTCGAGCGCCGGCCGATCTGCCGCGGCAAGAGTCGCTCGGGGAGGGAGGCGTCGGGGTGCCATTGATCGCATCTTCAGCAAGGAGGAGCATTGGAGGTAGCAAAGGCGCTGATGCCTCGGCGAGAGATAGGAGAATTGCAGACATCAGCGCCTGGATTTTTAACATCTCCACATCAGTGGGTGTGATCATGGTCAACAAACAGCTTCTCTCCGTCTACAAGTTCGGCTTCGGTGAGTCATGTTTTTTTCCACGTCCCTTTTGCCTCCTACTTCATTCCCGATCCTTGTGCTCCTCTCTCCCTCGTCGTCATTCCCTTCCTAACCTCCTACTCTCCTCTTCTGCTCCCTGTAGTTTTCTTCTCCTCCTCTTCGTCTCTGCCTCTTCCATCATTTTCTCCTCTCCCATCTCCCCGTCTGCAAACCGTATTCCATTCACGTCTTTTCCTTTCCAGCTAGTGCTCCTCCTCTTCACGTTGACCTAGATCGCTTCGCATCCTGTTGATGACTCACATTTCCAAATCGCCTCCCCTCCTTAATTAGTTGATTTCTTGCTCTTCTTCTTCTTCTTCTTCTTCTTCTTCTTTTTCTTCTTCTTCTTCGTCTGCTGCTGCTGTTGCTGCAGCTGCATGTTTTATTTACTTGTGGTTTGTGTACTTAGCTGGTATGACCAGGGTTCGAGGAACGGTCCGATATGCTTCGGCAAGAGTCGTGTTCCCTTTTCCTCCTTTCAAAAAGTTTCACTGTTGTTCTCAATAATGACGTTTCGTTTTGTCGAAATGGTCCTCTTGTACAGTCTATCTCGCTGTGACAGAAAGGAAGTAGAGATAACTGGGAACTAGAAGCGTCCAACTCGCTAAAAGTCTATTTGTGGACGGTGTGGACGGCAGGGGCGTGTGTGTGTGTGTGTGTGTGTGTGTGTGTGTGTGTGTGTGTGTGTGTGTGTGTGTGTGTGTGTGTGTGTGTGTACCTGGCATAGGAAATGCGGGCAGGTTGTCCATTCTCTCTCTCTCTCTCTTGATATCTGTGTGACCAGGACATATTGGAAACGAAAGTGCAGAAAACGACGGGGTTGGAAGGAAGTGTAAAATGGCGGCAACCAGATGGACGATGGGGCAAGCACAATGGAATAGAGAGAGAGAGAGAGAGAGAGAGAGAGAGAGAGAGAGAGAGAGAGAGAGAGAGAGAGAGAGAGAGAGAGAGAGAGAGATATTCAGGGGCGAACAAGAAAGGGAAAGGAAGAGAGGGTTCCTTACAAACGAATGGACCTGGTTACCGTTTTTCTTGCCAATTCGAACGTAGTACGGGGATGGCTCACTATGATATAGTTCCCATGTTTTTTTTTGCCCCCCCCCCTCTCCTTTAGTTTC